CCTAGAACTGTAACTGTGGCACTAGAAACACAAGGTAATAAAGCCAGGAACTGGCATTTCTCCATGTGCTCCTATGTTGAAGGACTTAGTTGGTACTAGGAGAGGATCTTTCTCTGGGAAAGCCTGACTGTTGCAGTAACTGGTCTTCCAGCTGATCCTGCCTCCAAAAGATGTTTTAGCCTTTGATTCGTCCTCACTATAAAGGATGAAACCCTGGTAAAAGAAACACCTCAGAATCTTTTTCCTCTTACTAATTTGGCCAAAACTGTAAATAAATCCATTTTTCTTCACTGATTGGTTTCCTAAACTTCTTTTTAGAATGCAGAGAAACTAAGGTGGTGCGATCTGAGCCTGTGTCCAGTTAAACCAACAAAAAACAGAAACCCCTGGAACATTCCTAAACTCTGCCAACAACTGAAACACTGCTTTGGATGACCACCCTGCTCCATTTCTATCTACTGGTCTGAAGGCAGTGATGCAAACTCATCACTCTGCCTGCCAGCTTCGGGAAGCGGTGGACCCTTCAGCACGGGGCTGCTGCGCGCACTGGCTCTCTGGCAGACACCACTCGGTCCTGTGCTCCGGGCCTCTGTGCAAGGCATCCGCCCTAATGCCTGATCTCGCGAAGCTCTCTAAGACAACCCACCACGCACCTCATCTCCAACCGCACCTCGAGGCTGTCGCAACACAAATGGAGAGGTTTCACAATTTATCAAGACCTGAGTACAGGCACAGGCCAGCTGTGATGGAAAATGTACTCGCCCATCTTCACGACTGGGTGAATATGGAGGAAAGACACATACATACATGGTGAACCCCTTCATTTCACAGATGGGGGAAACTGAGGCCCAAGACGGTGCAGAACCAGGGAAACGATCTTAATCTCACTGAGATCTGGCTCCCAGAGGGAACTGCCTTGGTGAGGATTGGGGGTGGGGGGCAGGAGGGTGGGGGTTGGTGGGCCCCGATGCCAGGGTTCTGGAGAAGGGAAGGTCGGGATCTCTGAGATGCAGTTGTGCCTGATAGAGGGGCAGGGTTGGAGGGAGTTTCTGGGTCGAGAGACTGCCCAGGGCAGCAGCCCAGAAGACGAGAGGAAGGGGGACCCCTGGAAACCCATCTAAGAGGCTTGGGCCAAGACAGAAGCATTTGTGAGTGTCTTCTGCACCAGAAGGGCACACATGGAGCGGGGCTGAACAACTCCATGGGGAACAGGAGAAGGAACAGCACCTGAAAAAGTAACAAGGCTTGCCAGAGCTGCCCAACGGTGGCAAATGGTGACCATGGACACAGGTGGGGCAGCATGTCGGCTGATAACCTCAATAGATGGCACGGCCCTATGAAACGATGGTGGGAGAACTGGTAGCATTCTCTGCCGGCTTCACCCATCCAACCTGGAGGTTTGAGGTATCATTGGACATGCCACTTAGCTGACAAATTGGAAAGCTGACTGGGCCATGGGCCTTGGTTTTGAGAAGGAACCGGCCTCATTCAGTGGGTAGTGAAGGATCATGCTTTGGAGAAAGTGGGGCTGGCCGGGGGTTAACTGGGGTTAGGGAGGGAGACACAGCATCTGCCTCCTGTAACATGTAAGGCTGACTAAGAAATATGGTGGAGGGCTGAAGTCATAGGCCCCTGTTCCATTTTTTCCTTGCGTACCAAGGTGTGACCACTTTGTAGATGCTCCCACTGGTTACAGAGCCGTAAACACTGAGGCTTTTTTTTTTTTTTTTTTTTGAGGGGGTGGCTCTTCTGGCTCATGTGATCCTCCCCCCCAGCAGGTGTTCAGCTTTCCTCCTCTTCCATAGACACCTAAATTTTAGGCTCATGTGTGGCCCTCAGGCCAGAAGATTTCCACAGAGACCTTAACTTTAGGCTTGCTTGCAGCCTTCAGGCCAGAGCCCTAGCTGTGGAGATGGAGCAAGTCCATGACTCTGCCCTGGGAGATGGCAGGACACAGCCAGGTACCTCAGGGTCCGTGTCCTCATCTGTGAAATGAGGGAGTTGGACTAGAGCCAGTGGAGGCTTGAGCCCGCCCGACCTCTGTGTAGAGCAGAAGGGAGGAGTCTTGCCTGAGCACATAGGTGAGTTAGTGGGGCCAGGTACAGCGAGAGTTCAGCAGAAGAAAGCTTCTGAGTTGGGACTCAGGGATTTGGGTAAGGCTCAACCTTGAGCCTGGCCCTGCGTGTGGCAAAGGCCGGGGCCAAGAAAGGAAGCTAGCCTGCCATGTAAGAGGTACCCTGATTCAAGAGAGCAGCCCCCCAGATCGCTCCTTTGGCTACAGCAAGGGCATGCCTCCCAGTATAGCCGCAGGCATGAGTCGCCTTCATGAATGCAGAACAAGATGGAGGGAAGCTGGAGGCTGGGTGGTAGTAAATTAGGAAGGGTCTTGCTTTGGGAATCTCCATGGACGTCTGGCCTGAAGCACTGAGAGGCTCTGCACTGAGAAGGGCCTTATACTCCTGCAGATTCAATCCTGTGAGCTTTGATTATCCTTCCGGGCCCCCCCCCCCCCCCGTCCCTACTTCTGTCCTAATCTAGTGCTGGTGGTGGTGTCTGGCACGGGAGCTCCCCTTCTCCAAAGGTCAAGACTCCTAAACAAACCTAAGAAGCACAACAGGTTAGCCAGTTGCGCAGGGCGCGTGGCCTAGGTAGGTACTGCCAAGGCTTCAGTGGATGCCAGCTGAAAAGAGTGTGGCACCTAGCCTGGGGGGAGGTGCCAGTAGGGCCTTGGGTGGTGGGGAAGATGCCTGTGACTTACTTGGTTTCAAGCCTGGCTTGGGGGGTGTTTATGTAGAGACCATGAATGATGAAGTACAGTAGTCAGGGATGCTGGCAATCATGCCCAGGAAGGACTCTGTACCCACACGAGACCTCAGGTCTCTCTGCACACACAGGGAGGCCTCTGTCAGTTGCCGGGCTCATACAGGCACGCTCTTCACTCCCAGTTAGGACCCAGGGGGTTCCTGTTTCCTGGCAGGAGATCTCAGCTTCTGAAAGTGTGAGTCTTTCTCTGTGGAAGCTGTTGTTCTCAACTTTTCTCCAAGGGCAGGTGATGTGGGCAGGGTGGTACAGGCTTTTTGTTCTTTTTCCTAGATGAGGTTTTTCTTATTACCCTGGCTGTCCTGGGACTTGCTCTGTAGACCAGGCTGGCCTCAAACTTAAGAGGTCCACCTGTCTCAGCCTCCTATGAGCCACCTCAGACCAGCGGGTTCCTCTCTTTTAGCAAAGACTCTTGCAAGGCCTGACAAATCTCAGCTGGGGTGTGACGACTTTTCAGCACTCACATTAGGGAGCAGCAGTAGGGATTCTGGCCAGTCCCACCCACTGGGGTCCCTGGGTTTGGCAGGAAGGACCCCAGGCCCTAAATCACCACTGGGCCTTGGCCAATCATTTTATGAACATGCCCTTAAGGCCAGTACCTTGTATGTCCTGAAATAATATGTCCACAGTAACACCTGGCAGCTACTCCCTCCACCTTCACGCACTCTCAGAGAGCTTCTGTGTCCATGCTGAGACAATGCACGTGTTTGCCTGAGCAGAATGCAGGCAGAGCTGGGGAGTGGGCATTGTATCCTCCTGGCTACCTCTCCCACCAAGCAGTTCCCAGATGAAGAAACTGAAACACTCGGTTTAGCAAAGGGATTCTTGGGGAGGAAAATGGGGCTGAGCCTGGAGCACCATCTAATGAATTTAACCCCTAGCCTTCTGCTCAAACGACTCCCCCCGCCCCCAACCCCTTTCCATGAAAGCACGCTACCGTCGCCATTTGCCACTGTGGTATTAACACAACTGGGGATTCCCGCCCAGAGCAGAGAACCTATTTCAGGATGTAACAACTGCTTGGGAAGCTCTGATTGGACGCCCCAGATGGTAAGTCAACCAGCACATAAGCGAGAGCCTGGACAAAAAGGATATCTAATCCACTCGTTTGGAGAAGGCCAAATTCGACAACTCCCAGCCTGTCATCACACCCCACGCCATCTTCACAGCCTGGGCTTCCATTCAAAGTCCCCGCTCTGCACCCAAGCCAAGGAAGCAGAAGCTGAGGCAACCGTGGTCTTTCAAAACTATTTATTTCTCCCAACCGGAAGTTGGGCATCGCTACGAGTGGACGAACACAGAACACTGCGTGCAGCGAGGCTTCAAGAACAACGGCGCAGGTAGGTCAGAGGCCAGCAGCACTCAAGCGAAGGTGGAACCGTTCCAGCCCACGTTGGCTGCGTTCATGTCGTAATAGTTGATGTAGATCCTGCGAGGAGGAAAGCCTCGGCTCAGCCAAACACGCGGGGTCTCTGACCACGCTGCCCTCTGAACGGTCCCTGCCGACCTCCCCGCGCCCCTCACCCGCTACGCACCGGTCCGGGCTGATGCGCAGGCGATCGGCAAGCAGGCCGCAGAGCAGCTTGCTGTAGGTGCGGTTCTGGGCGCCGCCGATCTTGCCGATGCTGTGCAGGCTGCAGAGGGCGCAGGGGTCGCTCGAGCCGCTGAAAGTCATGAGCTGGTCCGGGACCACGTGCACTGCGATGTACTGGGGTGGGGATGGGGGTGGGGTGAGGATGGACTCGCGGCTAGCCCGCCTGAAAGACCACAGGGCCACCGATCTCGCAGAGGGCCCCAGCAGCCCCCCGACCCCATTCTTCCCCACTCCGCTGCCGGGCCCACCCCAACTCCTCCTCTTGTACCCCCTGCAAACCTGTGCCGGCTTGCCGGTGGCCTGCGCCAGCTGCTGGGTGAGCTCAGAGAGAAGCCCCTCTGGCACGGAGGAGCGGGGAACGTTGGTGTTCACGGTGAACATCGGCATGGTGGCGGAGGGGCTGCGAGCGAGGAGGAGAGGACGGTCGGCTCCAAGCGCGGCGCGGCCCAAGCCAAAGACCTGAGCTACGTGACCCAGCTCAGGACCGCCCCAAGCCGGCCGTGGCTCCGCCTCTCGCTACGCCTCCGCTGACGTCAGGGCACGTCCCACAAGGGCGCTCCTGCGCAGAATGACGTGCCCGTTGGTACTCCGGGAAGTAGCACATTTGGTTCCTGGTTTCCTAAGGTAGAAACTAGGGATGCATCATTTAGTAAGCTAGGTTAATGAGGACTTGACTCTAGAGATTAGGCTCGCCGAGGCATTCCAGTAGATGCTACAGATTAACGGTAAGGCAAATTCGGGTCTGAGAGATTTCTGTTCCATGTAGAGGAAACTTCAGCCATTGATTGGTCCTGTAGGTAGTCATGTTGGCCTTAATTTCTCCTACGAATGGGCCAGGACCGACCCACTCTGGTGAATAAGATTTAACCTCAGATAAGGAGCCAAAGCGTGGTGGCTTGTGCTTGCCTTGGGAACTTTCTCCTAGCGCATGGAATTGGCAGAGCACTATCGCTTAACTAGTCTCTGCTCTCCTCCAGTACCAGCAGTTGGGGCCTTCGGTTCCCCTTCACAGTGCCACCTTCATCCCAGCCACTTTCAACTCTTGTGTCCTGAGCCTCCTGGGGCATGTGTCCCCAAGGCCTATAATCCTGCACGTGCAGGCTTGTGAGTGTGAAATGGGGAAGGAGGCAGAACGGAGTTAACATCAGTTACGCCCCTGCATCCCTGTTGTTCCACGCAGGTGAGGATGCTTAGAGGTCTCCGGGAGAGTAGGATGTGAGCCAAAGGCACCAATTCTACCCCTCCAGGCCTTAAGGTAAATCCTAAACTGGGCAACTGTCAGCCCTCAGGGAAGCCCTGCTCAAAGGCGATTTGGCGGGGCTGGAGAGATGGCTCAGTGGTTAAGAGCAACGTCTGCTCTTCCTAAAGACCTGGGTTTAATCCCCAGCACCCACATGGCAGCTCACAACTGTAACTCCAGTTCCAAGGGATTTGACAACTTCATGCTAATGCACATAAAAATTTTTAAAATACCTTACTGTTAAAAAAAAAAAAAAAAGACTCGGCGAAGTTCCCCTCATCTAGCGCCCTTGGTAGACTGTATAACTTTCTCATTAACCAGCCAGACATCTGGGAGGTGCCCAGGAAATGTCACTGGGATCTTTGGACTCCCTTTGTTTTCCTAGTTCTTTTTATTGTTATAAACAGTTTTTTTGTTTTTTTTGTTTTTTTTTGTTTTTTTTTTTTTTTTTTCTGGCGAGTCAAAAAGGATGCAGTGTAGGAAAGTAGAATCCTGTCTGTGGCTTCAAGGTTTACACGAGGTGCTGGCAGCAATGAAGATAGACTACTGAAACACTGGAATTTTGTCAGGAGTCTCATGCTGCAAAAAAGAGAAAGGCTGGAAGTCAGGCGCAGCCAGGGGAGGAACTCAGTCTCCCTGGAAGAGATCACGCAGCTCTGGAAGCTTGTCAGACCGACCACCTTTCGGGAGAGACTGTGATGCTGCTGCTGGGAGGACCACAACCTGACCAGGGTCTCTGTGTTCTGGATGCTTCTTGCCCTCTATTTAAACCTAAACCTCGTAACACAGGACCCATCAGAGGAAGGTGGGGTGAGGGTCGCTGGACTTTTATTCGTTCCTCTTGCCAGTGTGACCACATTGAAATAAATCTTTTTTGTCTTTTCATTATTGTCTCTTTATGGACTAAAGAGGATGTGTGCCCAAGGGTAAAGGTGTCAGGACTGCCAGGGCTCAGGCTCTGACCCTCAAAGTTCTAGGAGTACTGCTGGTAAAACGGGCAAGTCAGAGGGCAGCTAGAGCCAAAGGGGGGCTCATTCCAGGTTACTATCTGGGCTCTGGTCCAGGGAGTCCTTGATCTCGGGGCACAGCTCTCTGGTGGTCTTAGGTGGGGGGCGCTTGATCCTTGGGTAATTTGGACTTGTTAACAGTTAATCCTCAGAGATCTTAGTAAGGCTGTCAGAAGTTCCCTGGATGTGTGTTCCATTCTCTTCCTGATAGCTTCAGCCTCTTGTTACCCGTTTGTCCTTTAGATAGCACAGAAAACAGAATTTACTATATGTAACAGGAGCCCATCTGTGATTCTGTAACCCCCTAACCCCGCAGACTCCCCATGTGCCTGGATTCCAGAGGAATGGCAGGTGCCATGATTATCATCTCCCCAAGGAAGTTTACAGGCTATGGTGTCAGCCTCCAAGATATCAAAGGGTGGGCCACCAGGGGCACCCATCACCCACCCACACAGTGGATACATGTCAAACTGCAGCTTTGACATGCCAGAGTCTGAAGGAGGAGGTGTGGAGTTGGCAAACACACAAAGGATTTCTTTTTTTTTTTAGGTCCAACAGATTCTTAGTTTGGGGAGAAAACACATGTACACAAATAACACACCACTCGGTGAATGAAGCAAGGCTGCTCCAACAACTCTCCCACAGCATATATATCCCAGCAAAATCTTTGAAGCAATATAAAAATTACAATGTGGTTACATTTTATTTTTATTTAAATGATTACAATGAGTTCCCTAATACCATCACATAAGTAACCATTTCACATATTGGGGGGGGGGGCAAATTATTCCCAAGAACCCACATAAAATCGTGTCTAAGCAACTTGTTATAGGTTAACAAAGTGTAAACAAATTTTTCTCAGCCAGTTTCTCTTACTGGCAGGCTGCAATTTGTGGATTCAAAGGACCAACAATTATCTTACAAAGTAACTCTTACAAAAAAATCTTTAAGTTCAAGGCCAGCCTGGTCTACAAAGTGAGTCGAGGACAACCAAAGCTACACAGAGAAACCCTGTTTCAAAAAAAAAAAATTCTAGACTTTTATATAAAGTTATTACTCAAAGTATACACCTACTCATTAACGATGTTTTTATTAAATCATATCAGGAAACAGAGGCCAAAAATGGGTATGAGAAATCACCTTGATCACCAGCCCAGCATTATTACCAAGAAAGGCATTTCAGCTAGTCCCAGTTGGGCTGCCACTGATCTTGTTCCCTGACCTCAGAAAAATTTATCAAAAATGTGACTTTCTGAACTTTAAATTGTTCCCTAAGATTTTCTACGTCAGAGCCACTAACAAAAACATCAGTCTACATCTTTAAGTTCTTGGTGAGGGTGGTGGATGAGGCGTTTATCTGTTGCAGCAGCAATGCCTGAGAAAGATCAGTCACAATTATTGTGCCAATGACACTGCCCAGTGAGGGGCTGGAAGCCCCCTTAGAGTTTTCACACAACTCCTAGATTATTGAGGGATGCGATGACCTCGAGGCAACAAACCGAGCAGAACTCCATAACCCTATGAAATCCTCAGGACACGTAGTCCTGATCACGGTTGTGCTAACCAGTGAGCCGCACTGCATGCGTGTGAAAGCTGCTGTTTTTGTCGCACGACCTCTGACAGATACATCTCAACTGAATGTGTCCCTCCTCCCCCATCCCCTCAGGGCCGCACAATCCTTCCTCCTCAGGATCAGGAACCAGCCGACTACAGGCCCGTGTTGCAGACTACCCAAATATATGCCACGAAACCTACCACCTCCTCTGAAATCTGTAAGAAGGGAACAACGCCTCCCCAGCAACACAGATCTGCACTGAGCTTGTCCACGCTGTTTATGACATCAGTAACTCTTACCCAAAAGGACAATGTGCTTCATTGTCCCTCTTGAGTCCCAAATGCAATAATTTTATGCCCTGCTTCCAAATTTGTGTATTATTGTTTCTCTCGCATGTATATGCACCATATGTATGCTTACTGCTCTGGGTCAGACGAGAGCATGGGAGACACTAACTGGAGTCACTATGGGTATGAGCAACCATGCGGGTACAGAGGCTTGAATCCGGGTCCTTAGCAAGAACTCTAACAACACCAAAGGACTTTCAATCAATGGAGCTATTGGGTTCCAGTGACATTTTCAATTTACTTCTGAAAGGAAGAGATTAAGGACTGTCCCAGAGGAGGGAGGAAGATGCTGAGATGGTTGAACGGGTAAAGCCACTTCTCACCAAGCCTAACAACCTAAGTTCCATCCCCAGAATCCACATAATGGAGAGCATTGTCCTCTAACCATGGTACATTCATGCATGTGTGTGAGCTCGTGTGTGTGTTTGAGTGAGGATGCGTGTATGAGTTTAAATAGAAAAAAAAAAAAAATTGCTTAGAATTTCAGCACTTAAACAAGCTCACTCAATAGTATATAAAAAGTGTGTGCCACATAAAAAGCGTCGTGTGTGTGTGTTTGTTTTTTTGTTTTTTGAGACAAGTTCTCTGGCTGTCCTGGAACTTGCTCTGTAGACCAGGCTGGCCTTGAAACTCAGATATCTACCTGCCTCTGCCTCCAGAGTACGGCGATTGAAGGCATGTGCCACTACCACCTGGTTTTAAAATTTCCATTGTTTACTTTTACATATCTTTACTTTCTGAGTTCCCCCTCAGAACCCAGCTAGCACAAGGCAAGTGTCTCAAAAGCACAAGGAATCACCAAACAGCTTGGGTATGGAAGTACAACCTCAAGCTGATAACAGAGATTAAAATTACCTCAACACTTGATCAGAGACATCCCTAGGAAAGACTATGTGACCAACAGCCAGAGGCACGTAAGTTAGCACAGACTCAGACAGTTACTGAAGCACAACACAATCTCTGGAGGTGGGCCTGGTGGAAGTCAATGCCTGGAAGGAGAGACTGGGAGCCTGGCTTCTGCTCTTCCCTCTTTTCTCTTTTTGTCTCTAGGCCACCACGGGGTGAGAAGTTTCCTTGTGCCCAGTCTTAACTTTCCTGTTGCTGTGATAAAAACAAAACAAAACAACAAAACAAAAACACCCTGACAGAAGCAACTTAAGGGAGAAAAGTTTTCTTTTGGTTCATGTTTCGAGGGCAGAGTCCGTTGTGACGGAGAAGTCAAGGCGGCTGGAGCAATGGCTCACACTGCGTCTGTAGTCAGGCGGCAGAGAGCGATGGCTGCTGCTGCTCAGTTCACTTTCATGCTGAAAGTGGAGGACACGGGCCTAGGAAACGGTGCCAACTTTTTCTGAGTCCGGGTCCTCCCACCTCAAGTAACATAATGGAGGTAACCCTGGCAGGCAGGCCCAGGGAGGGCCCCTCCAGTGATTCAGGTCTTATGGAGTTGGCAATGGAGACTGACCCTCACAGCATCCAAGATGTTCTGACTTATCATAGACGTGGAAGCAGCAAAAGAAAACCTTTCCCCATAGTATTTTTTTTTTAAAAGATTTATTTATGTGTACAATGTTCTGTCTGCATGTACACCTGCACGCCAGAAGAGGGCACCAGATCTCATTATAGATGGTTGTGGGCCACCATGTGGTTGCTGGGAACTGAACACAAGATGTCTGGAAGAGCAGCCAGTGCTCTTAACCACTGAGCCATCTGCGGTCAGACAGGGTTGGTGATTCCTTCCAGCACCTTCTCCCTGTCTGTATACGGGGCTGCCCTGTCTCCAGTAACACCTGACCATGAGATCCCCGCCAGCACTTTGAGCGTGAGACCATCTGTTTCAGGGCTTCCTCAACCTTTCTGGCCCTCTGAGAAAGGATTTTCGTGGTTAGCCTCCACAAAAGACCACACTATCTCTGAGTGCACATGTTGGTACAAGAGTGAGCCTATGCGATGGAAGAGGTGAAAAGCTGACATTGCCTGGCTCTCTTTAGCCTTCAGTGATTGCCTGATTGCTGTCACCGGACTCCTATACCCTCCAGCTTGCATGGGCAGCCTTCTACCGCCAGCCCAGCCCAGCTCAGTCAGGCCTCTCTTTCATGAAGAACTGTTGTCTTGTCCACTGTTTTCATTAGGGTATCTAATTGTTTTGAATCTCAGCATTTATTGAATGCCAGTAATCTGTCAAATTTTAAATATATGAGCTGCAAATATTTTCTTCCGGTCTCGGCTTTACTTTTTCAGATAGCGTCTCATGGCTGGCTTCCAGCTCACTAGGTAGCAAAGGATGACCTTACACACCTCATCCTCCTGCCTCCGCCTCCCAAACACTAGGGACCACAGGTGTGTGTGTGTGTGTGACAACACTATTTTATGGTGTGCTGGGGGTTTGAACCGAGAGCTTTGTGCATGCTAGGTAAGCGCTCTACCAACTGAGCCACACCGCCCTTCAATTTTCTTTTTACAAAATACATGTGTTTGTTTCTTTGTGTGTGGAATGTGTGTGTGCGTGATGTGTGTGTGCGTGTCAGCGTGTGTGCCGTGGCACACGTGTAGAGGTCTAAGGAAAGCTTTGTAACAGCGGTTCTCTCCTACCTTTACGTGGATTCTGAGGACTGGTGCCAGGCCCTCTCAGTAACTGGCCTAACCATATTTCTGGCTTAGATTTTACATTTCTGTTGGTCAATTTCAAGTTAATTTTTAAAATGCAAGTGCATGTGTGAGTCCATGCCACGTGTGTGCAGGTGCCCACAAGAGACAGAAGAGGGTGTCAGATCGCTGGAGCTGGTGTTACAGGTTAATTGTCAGCCACACCAGCTGGCTGCTGGGGGCTCAGCATTGTTGACCTCTGCAAGAGCAGCAAGTGCTATTAGCCACAGGGCCGTCTCCCCAGCTCTTGCTAGCTTTTGTGTGGTATGAGGCAAAGCTTTTTTTTTTTTTTAATGGATACCAGGTACATTATTAAAGACATCACCTCCCCCTCCCCCCCCCATTAAATTACTTTGGCGTGTAATTAAGAAAAATCAATTAGCACTTGAACATGAAGCACTTGACTGACTTTTGGCAGAAAACAGAAAGAGAATCGATAGGGCAGTGGGTTATCTGGAGAGAGAGAAAGCTCTGCACTGGGGAGAGGGGGTCTTGGTAGGGCTTCCTGAAGAGAAGATCAGCAGTGAAGGGTTTCAAGGACAGAGCCTTTCCTAGGCGGCCGCGCAGAGGACAGAGAGAAGGTCGCTGTAAGCCCAACAACTCATTTTCCCAAAAGCACCGGTCTGGATGTGCTCTGTCCCCCATTTGTAAGCTGAAACCAAGTCCCCATGGAACAGCTGATGAGACCAAGATAAAAACCATTCTTGTTAGATACGAACAAAACAAGAGGCATGCTGCCTGAAATACTTACTTTGTAAAAAGGTCTGCCGTGGTTCAGATAAGTGCCCTCCCACCCCCATGCAAAGGAGGAGGTGATGAAGCCTTTGAGAGGCGGGGCCTAATGGGAGAACGATCACAAGGGGGTGCGCCTTTGAAAGGAGTCTTGGGACCACGGCCTCCTCCTCTCCTTCGCTTCCTGACTGTCTTAAGGTAGGCACCTGTGGTGGTCGGAATGAAAATTACCCCCATAGGCCCATAGGGAGTGGCACTATTGGGTGTGATCTCGTTGGAGTAGATGTGGGCTTTGCTGGAGGAATTACGTCACTGGGGCTTTACGGTCTCAGATGCTCAAGCCACGCCCAGTAGGCGGTTCTCCTTCTGTTGCCTGCGGATCCAGACGTAGAACCCTCAGTGCCTTCTCCTGCACCATTTCTGTTCCCACCGCACCGTGCTTCCAGCCATGACGTTGATGGACTGAACCTCTGAACTGTAAGGCAGCCCCAGTTAAATGCTTTCCTTATCAAGCAATGACATGGTCATGGTGTCTCTTCACAGCAACAGAACCCTAACTAGGACCTTTTCCTTGGTGATACTGTACTGCCTGTTTCCTTTTCATGCTGATTTAGCCCAGGTATTTTCTCTCTTAAGTCTCTTTTACAAGGGCATTTGATTCCCAATCACAAGGACTGACTCTGGTCATTGGCCTCACTGTTCTTTGGAAATATTTGTTTCAATTGATCTGCAAAATGATATTTTTTGGGGGGGCTGGGTGATTAGATCATGAGGCCAAAAGGTATCAGTTTCATTCTCTCAAACCCCAATGCTTCAGATATCCACTAAGTATGCACAGATTTCTGGAACAACTTTGATCTTTAGTATTCTTTAAGATTGCAGCTCACTAGTTGGGTGGTGGTGGCAGTAATCTCAGTACTTGGGAGGCAGATGCAGATGGATCTCCGTGAGTTCAAGGCCAGCCTGGTGTACACAGCAAGTTCCAGGACAGTCAGGGCTTGAAAAACCAATAATAATAAAAAGATTGCAGCTTGACAAGATGTTCTGTCAGAACACTTTTACAGCAAGATAAACTCTGTATATAAGCAGCACAGGCAGGTTTCCTCCTTTCTTTAAAAAACTTCTCTTTGAAGTCCAGCTCCCCATTTTGTTTGCTGATACCTCATCCCCATATGAAAGTTAATGAGATTAGGATAAAAATAAATAAATCATTTTTGTGGGCACAGTGAGATCCAGATAGTTATGACAGAGGAGGACACAGGTATGATAAGACATTCTTATCAACCCCCACATTCTGGAGGTCAGTGCAGAAGGACCTTAGAGTTCAACCCTAACCTGGGCTACACAGAGATCCTGTCAAAACAAGGACGCAAACAACTATAAACCCAAACAAAAACCAGTTTCTCCTTCCCTGGCTGTCTGGAACACACCCATCATTTACTGTAGAAGTCTCTCTACACTGCTCTTCAGGGAGCATCACTATTCTTTGGAGACATTTAATGCTATTTGGATTGATCTCTGGAGGCTGGGCCTTCTGGAGGTGACAAGGGCAGAGCCCTTATGAACAGGACTAATGTCCTTAGAATAGAGGCCTAAGAGTCTCTCCCGCATCCCTGTTGCCATGTGAGGTTATAGCAGGATGGTTGTGTGCAAACCAGGACATTAAATTTGCTGCTGTCATGACTCCAGACTTGCCATCCCTCCGGGACTGTGAGAAACTTCTGTTTAGAAGTCACCCAGCCTGTGGCATTCTGCTACGTTGCCGCAACAAAGACACTCAAGAAATGAAACGTGTTTCTACAACATTTGGTGTAGGAGTGGCGATGGCAACTTTAAGAATTAGAAACAACTCAAATATCCACCCACCCATAGGGAACAGGCTAAAAAAGCTCCGGTCTCCATACATGGAAAATGTTCACAAAGGAACCCAAAGTGAGTATGTGTAATATGCATGCACCTAGGTCTCAAAAGTTCACCTGAGGCAAAGCCAGACATAAAAGTACTGTAGAAAATGGATCATACCAAATTCTAAAACAGTCCTATCTGATACTGCCAGAAAGCAGGGCAGCGGTTGCCTAGGGAAACACGCTCTGCACAGGGCAGAGACGTGTGACAGTGGGGTGGTGGCGAATGGGGTGGAGTGCCTTTATAGCTTCGCCTAACTGGATGTGTCTTTGGTTTGTCCACTCCTACTGTTGGACTCAGGAGCACAAGTCCCTTTGGCCAGCTGACTGTTAATGAAGCAGAGGTTTAGAAAAGCACTGTGCTCCGGGCTGGAGAGATGGCCCAGCAGTCAAAGGCTAGGCTCACAACCAAGACCATAAGAAAGCACTGTGCTCTGGGTGTGGTTTCTCATGCCTCTGCCATCACCACTCAGGTACATTTCTATAACTGATCTGAATCATAAGGGAAAGGACAGCTGTTTCTGCATCACTGCCTTGTCCCAGCCCAGGCTTGACCGGCCATGACCCCTAGTGCCATGAACACACAGCTGACATCAGCAGATCACACAGCCAGCCCTGTAAATGGATAAAAGATACAGTAAATGATTGTTATTTTAAGCCAGAGATTTTGGAATGCCTGCAATCCCAGCATTCAAAAGGCAGAGGCAGGAGGATGGCGACTTTGTGGACAAGCTGGGCTATAGAGCAACACCCTGCTTAAAAAACAAAACAAAACGATAACCAGAGTAATTGTTGGCATCAGGCAAATTCAGTTTGTGTGTCTCAGTTCCTCCCTGGGCTTCCGGCCTAGAAATAGCTGTGTCTGGTTCATCCTATTGCCCTATAATCAAAACTATTTACTTGATAAAGTATTTTGAAGGGATGTATAGATCATATGGAGTTGAAGTGAAAAGAGAGAAACAGCTTTTCTTTTCTTTTCCTTTTTTAGATAGAGTATTACTATGTAGCTCTGTCCAGGAACTCACTATGTAGACCAGGCTGGCCTCAAACTCACAGAGTCAACCTGCTTCTGCCTCTTGAGTGCTGAGATTAAAGGGGTGCACCACCATGTCCAGCTTTAAAAAAAAAATAATACTAATAATAAATAACAAAAGTCAAGAAATGAGGACCCAGAGACTCTGGTGACATGTACCTCTAGATAAAGGGTGACTTGGGGACCCCAAATCACCTGCCAGGCAGGTTGCAGTGTTTCCACGGTCAGTGAGGAAGAAGTGCAGAAGTAAAGCGGAGGGGCAAGCTGGAGCGCTCCAGGTACCGGGAGGCTGGGCCGACAGCAGAGGCCAGGCTTGCGGGCCACCCAGGAGCTCCTCAGAGAGGCGGAGGACAGGGCAGGCAGTGTGATGCCTCTGTACCTCAGCATCGACACCTTCCCCCAGGCCTCCTGCCTACGGGCCTCCCTGCCCACAGAGGGTCCCAAAGCCCTGTGCTTCCACCTACCCAGCCAGGCCTGGATATCAGCATTCGTTCCACCCAGCTGGCCACTGCAGGAAGGAGAGGGAATTATGGAGAAGTGCGCATGCACACACACACACACTCACACACACACACACACACACACACACACACACACACACACACACGGGTCCTGTTCTCTTCATCCTCCTTCGAGTATTAGGACATACTGCCCTCTCAAAGTCCACCTTTTTGCTCTCCTCTCTGATGTGCCCTATTTTTGATTCCCTGTCCTCAGAGAAGGCGGCTTACATGCCGTGTGTTTGATTGATGCCCTTCCTGTATCAGACACATTGATGTGTCAGGCTTCTAATAGCTTTGTGGGGGAAAAAAATAAAAAGCAATGCCTCAATTCCCCTGGTAGGTAGGACAGAATTGTAGGCGTGAAGAAGGTTTTATTGGCATCCTCAAAAAGACAGGGAAGGGGAGCTCACCTGAGTCTAACTACTGATCCCTCATAACGATCTCCAGGGACATGAAGACAGTTGAGGTAATGGCATACCACGGTAATGGCATACCATGGCTCCTTGAGGGCACTCTCTCCTAGGTAGGTGGGCTGGATGTTCAAGCTTACACCTGGACACGTGCATACCAGGGGACATCAATTACTAACAGAGATCACTACGATGCCTCCCTCACCACCCTCAGCCTGGAGCCTGGCACTAAGTGCCAACGAGACCCCCTCCCCTCCCTGCTTTGCCCCTCTGGACTTCTCTGAGAAAATACTTCTCAAATCAGCAACCTTCACAGCCCCTCACCGCAGCCCACTGCCCCAGGCTGCACTCGACACCTCCACAGCCTGTGGGGACACAGAACTGCCCCACACGGTAACATAGAGCAAAAGCTGGCTGTTGGGACCTTCTCAGTCTCCACCAGTGCCGTCCTCCAGCGCTGAAGGACTTTGTGGCAGATGTGGGTAGAGCTTGCAAGCCTCCAAGGCATCCTCGTGGGAGAAGAGTTTTCAGGAGAGCAGCAGCGTTTTCCATTCAACTGACTGTTTCCCACCTGGTGTGGTGTCTGTTTAATTTTTATATTAGCATGATATCATTTCTGTGAATAAACCGAACCTATTCAAAGGACAAATCTTGCATGGCCATCCTAATTGCTGAGCGCTCACAACTCACAGCCCATGCTCTGGGTACTGGGCGATTTTGTTATTGCTTCTTTGAAGACAGGGTCTCTGTGTCACCCTGGCTCTCCTGGAATTCTCTGTATAGACCAGACTGGCCTCGAAACTCAAGAGATCTACCTGCCCAGTGCTGGGGTTAAAGACATATGCCACTACACCTAGGGAAGCAGGTGGTTTTGAAGACGTGGCATCTCGAGTCGAGCTTAACAAAGGTTCCATCCACCAGTGGGTCCAAGGCCAAGTTTAAAGTTCTCTGATACTTGGCATTTTGGTGGCAGTTAGGAAAGCCTAACTTCAGTGAATTTCTTCAGCAAGAAAGCACTCCTGGCTTTGTTGCTAGGCCCTGCCAGGTTGTGAGGAAACCAGCTGAACCTGCACCCTTCATGGCCTGGGTGCCATCTAACACTTCTCTGCCAAGGCTCAGCATGCCCCATGGTATTCTTGTCACTGACGAGAAGAGGCATGTAGCAAACCTGCCCCAAGTGGACCCAGAGTTTTCACAGTAGGTCAACTGCATCTGCAGGGCCATGACTTAATACTGAAGGACTTAAGGTTTTCCTTGATAGCAATGGAATTTTGTTCATTTAAACAAAGTAGTATCTAAAAACTGGTTTCAGGAAGTGTAAGGAAAGGGTAAACGAACTGATCTCTCAGAACCTGACCCACGGCCCGGCCTCTGTTTCTGCTCACCAGAGCCTCTGGCCATGGCAGAAGGGATTACATAATCACACAGCCAGACAACTCTCTCTCTGTGCATGACATTCAGCTGCTTTTCTCAGAGGTTGCTGAGTCCGTTCATAAACAAAGTGGGAATGGAAGCAAGAACAGAAGATGCTTGTGGACTCTGCAGCAGGGGCTGCCTAGGTTATGCTATCCTGCATAACCGTTTCTGGCAGCTTCCTGCTGCTGTGGCAAACACCTGAAAGAAACAACTCAGAAGCTAGCTCCGCTTAACTACTGGGTAGAGCTGAGCTGGACTCCTGCCACAGGGGATGAGGCAGCAAGCTGATGTAATTGAAACAGGCACATGGACTGAATTAGAATTTTCCACCCCTTTTCTCCCATTCATCTAGGGAAAGAGTGCCAGGTACCGTTAAATGTTCAAGCAGCAGCTATCGCCTCCTTCCTTTTGGCAGGGCGAGCCCCTCTTCTGTTTGAAACTGTACCCCTACTCCCACATGGTTTAGATAAGTACCCCAATAATTTAACCTAACACCGGGGGTCCTCATCGCTCTGCTAGTACTATGCTTTGGATATTTGTATCCTCATAAAAATTTATGTGAACACATAATTCTCAGTGTAATAGCATAAAAAAGCGGGGTCTTCAGGAGCAGGTAAGCCATGGGGGCTCAGGCTCATTGATAGAAAAGGGCTGGAGGGAATTAGAGATCCTTTTTGCCATTTGTTTATTTATCTGGTGTTAGGGGAAGCAAACCTAAGGCCCCATGCATGCTAGTCACATGCTGTGCTTCTGAGCTGTACCCTAACTTCTCTTTGCCTTTTGTTGTTTCACCGTCCACCAGGTAAAGACACAGTCCTCACCCTTTCTGCCATTTGGGCACATGGCCATAAGCTCCCTCCTGGGAGCAGAAAGAGTAATCCTCACTGAATTTGCCAGGATCTTGATTTTGGAGTCTTAGCCTATAGAATCATGAGAAAACAAATCTAGGTTATTTTTTTCTTTCTTTCTTTTGTTGTTTTGTTTGCCTGTTTGTTTTTCGAGACAGGGTTTCTTTGTGTAGCCTTGGCTATCCTGGACTCACTCTGTAGACCAGGCTGAACTTGAACTCAAGAAATCTGCCTACCTCTGCCTCCCCAGCACCAGGACTAAAGGAGTGTGCCACCACTGCCTGGCTTCTATTGTTAGAGTCCAAGAATCACCAGAGAAAGACCCCAGATTCAAGTAGTATGCTTAAGCAAGGAGTGTTTATTCTGCAGAAATTTTCCAGCGTGCTGGGGCCGCCATTCCTTAGAGTGGGTCTACAAAGTAAGCATGCAGGCTCAATTTAAAGGCAAGTAGGAAGATTTCCAGAAGGAGGTAAGCTTTCATTTGATTGGTTAGTAGTGACTCAGGAGGTAGGGGGATTTAGGATTGGCAAAACTGTTAGGAACTTACCAGAGTTGCTAAGGACTTTTCCTCAGGTTTACTGAATCATTGCTCAACTCCATGAGTTAACCTTTACGCTGATTGGTTGCCTGAGAGCTGCCATTTTTCCAGAAACTGTTTTTCTATGTTCCGAAGAACAGACACTCAGGCCTAGTGAGGCAAAGTTGAAAATGAAGCCTGTCATGGAGTCAGACGAGCCAAACAGATTGGGGCCTTCTCACTAGGTTCTTTATAAAATCTCTACTCTTAAATATTTTGTTCTAGAAAGAGTAACATACTAAGTGGTGGCAGATTGGAATGAGAAATGCCCTAGACGCTCGTTTTTGTATTTGAACACTTGGTCCCTGGTTGGTGGCACTGCTGGGAGAGATTATGGAACTTGGCTTTAGGCATCCCCCCCCCTCCTGCCCATTTTATAAGATGTCTCAATCTTTCCAGTTATAGTAATTTATTTTATTTTACCTTTTAATATTATGTGAACGGAACAAGCATCAGAAACTTTTCACGACGATGGTGCTGAAGGTCAAGAAGGAAGAAGCTCCTGCTCATCCCAAGACTGAAGCCAAGAAGGCGGTGCCCGTGCCGAGAGAGGCGCCCCAGTCACAGGGGAAGATCTGCACTTCCTCCCTTGTGGCTCTGGAGGCAGCACAAATACCCTCTCAAAAGCATGCCGGGAAGAAAGAAGCTTGACCATTCCACCGTCATCAGGACCCAGGGCCACCCCCCCCCCCATCCCAACCACAGAGTCAGCCGTGAAAAAGACTCAAGACCTTATCACACTTGTGCTCATCATCAGGTATGTCGGGGCTTACAAGCGCCAGATCAAAAAGCAACTTTGACACTGATGTGGCTAAAGGCATGTGTTCGGCTGGCTTCTCACAGAGATGCTCTGAATGTTGCCAATAAAACTGGGATCATCTAAACTGAGTTCAGCTGGTTAATTCTATAAAAAAAAAAAAAAAAAAAAAAATCACAATAAAAGTGTTTTGCCTGCATTTATGTCTGTGCACCACGTGTGTGCTGGGTACCCTCTGAGGCCAGAAGGGGGTGTCAGATCCTCTGGTACTGGAGTTACAAAAGGCTGTGAGCCACTATGTGGTTGCTGAGAACTGAACTCACGTTCTCTGCAAGAACAGCCAGTGCTGTTAACTGCTGAGCCATCTCTCTAGGCCCAGTTATAACACATTCTATTATGTGAGAATCAGTCTCTGTTGCTTGCAAACCAAGAACTGCATTGCCAACACAGAGAGAAAACTGGTCTGGAGAGAAACGTTTGCTTAAGCACAAACACCTCAGACGTGTCGATGTAAACCCTACCGCTCTCATTTTGTTGTTGTTTTCTGAGAGGGGGTTTTTCTGTGTAACAGCTGTGGCTGTCCTGGAACTCACTCTGTAGACCAGGCTAGTCTTGAACTCAAGAGATCCACCTACCTCTGCTTCCCGAGTACTGGGATTAAAGGTGTTCACCACCACTGCCTGGCCAACAGCTCGAATGTTGTTTTGTTTTGTTTTTGCTTTTGCTTTTTAAAAACCAGCTCTCATCATAAAGGAAATAAGAGATAGTTTATTCTGGAGCCATTCTGACTCCCCATGGCCCCAGAAGATAGATCTAGGTTACCCCAATTTCCATGTTCCAACATGGAGACAGTTTCATGAAGTTTTTATAGTTTTACAGAACAAAGAAAGTCATAAATCAAGGCAACTTTAAAACACATTGGTGAGTACACCAGAGGAGCTAATGCCAATGAGATGGCAATAATGAGATGGGGGTGTGAATTCTGAAGGCCCAAGATGCTATCGGATGACGTTCTTAGCTCCTGGATGGGTGGAAGCTAAGTTCTGCTGTTAATAGCTTCTAAGAGGTTTTTACTTATCACAGTCATTTGTTCTAAGTTAATAGCTTCTAAGAGAGTGTAGTTATTATCATGAGGTATTAGTTTAGACAACAGAATGGGGCCAGGAAAGGCTGTTCCAGAGGCTAAACTTAGATAAAGCAATTAGCCTCTGAACCTACAAAATACCAGTCTCCCCACAGTACTGATTCCAATCAGTCTGTCTGTGTCTCTGCTGACACAGACTCCTCCCAGTGGTTTTTTGTTCACAGCCAGACACAGCTTCTTTTCAGGAATTCTTGTTCACACATAGAACTAGAAACCAGGCATTCTCCTTCCTTTGCTGTGCTAAACCCCTTCCTCTACCACGTTTCCTTGAAAATATGACTCTCGAGGTAGATCTACAAAGAAGACGCTGAGGAGCAGACCTGGGCCCAGAGCCTGTACCCCGTCTCCTGTATCCTCCATTCCTCAGCCTGCACACTGCGTGCCCATCACTGAAGAGCACTCAGGAAATACACAGGAAGCCGTACCTTCCCAGTATGATGGCGTGGGTCCTGTCAGCCGAGCTCCCAAGAGCCCTCCCAGAGGATATCGAAACACAGTGAGAGACCACACAAGCAGAACTATGTTCTGTGGGTGAATCCCTGAACGTACTGTGAACAGAGCTGCCAGTTAGCCACCTGAGGTTGAACAGAGGTGCTGGACATGATATACTTTCTCCAGGGTCTTGTATTGAGTAAACACCAAAATGCCAGACCAATGAGGCTTTCCACAAGGCAGCAAGCTCCTCCTGAGCTCCTCCTATGTGCTTGAATGTTTTCACTTTCAGTATCTCCGAAAGCCTAAGGCAGCAGTTTTCAACCTCTGGGTTGTGACCACCTCAGGGGTCAAATATATATCAGATATTATCCTGAATATCACATATTTACCTTACAAATCATAATAGTAACAAAATTACAGTTATGAAAGAGCAACAGAATAATTTTATGGTTGGGCGTCACCGCAACATGAGGCACTGTATTAAAGCGTCCCAGCCTTAGCAAGGTTGAGAACCACAGGCTTAGAGCACAGCCATTTCTAGTTGAGCTACTCCGGATGCTGCTGCTCCTTTACACTCACACATACTACATCTGAAAAACATTCTGAGTAAAGCTGTCTCCACACCGACCAGCTATAGTTGTGGTGATTTGAATAAGATTGGCCCCCGTAGGCTCATGTATTTGAATGCTTAGTCACCAAGGAGTGGAACTGTTTGAAAGGATTGCAAAGATTAGGGCATATGGCCTTGTTGGAGGAAGTGTGTCACTTGGGGTAGGCTTTGAGGTTTCAAAAGCCCATCATGCCAGGTCTGATCTCTGTCTCTCTGCCTGCAGATCAGCACATAGGGCTCCGCTCCACTGCTATGCTCCCTGCTATGATGACAATGGACTAAGCCTCTGAAACTGTAAGCTGGCTCCCAGGTAATGCTTTCTCTTATAGAACTGCCTTGGTCATGGTGTCTCTTCACAGTACTAGAACAGTGACTAAGTCAACACTGCAATGTAAGCCAATCCTGATTTTGTCTACCCAGAGTTGCCATTGAATTCTACCAGCTGCAGGGCCCAGTCCCACAGGACTGGCCCTATTTCAAATGAAAAATTCAAGCCCAGGTCTGCTGTATTTCTACTCATCAGCTATATAAATTGGGTACTCCTATGATCCTCTCCTTGGGTATAATAAGTTGCTGTAAAGCTGGTCTTGGTGATACACACACACACACACACACACATGCACAATTTACTAGAGGAACTTATACAACTCAAAAAGGCATTTTCCTTTTGTTTACTGGCTTATTATAAAGATACAAATCAGGAACAGCAGCTGAAAGAGACGCACCGGGCAAAGGTTCTGGGAGTCGGGCTGGTGGCTGAAGCTTCCATCTCCTTTCTGGGCACATGATCTTCCCAGCACCTCACTGTGTTCACAAGTCTGCAAGCTCATTAAATCTCACTGTTCAGAAACTAAACAACAAGCAGAACTCTCCTACTCTCTTCTTCTCTGCACAACACCCCCTCCCCTCCTTTGGGATTTAAGACAGTATCTAATTATATGGCACAGCTGGTCTTAGAGTCTCATTCCTCCTGCCTCTGAATGACGGTATCATAGGCTCATCCTACTTCAAGAGTGTTTGTTTTCTGTTGTGTTGTTTTAATAGGGCTCAATGTACACTTTCCTCTCCTTCCCAGAGGTCAGGGGTTGGGGAAAATTCTGACCCCCATCACTCGGCCTTTCCTCAGACTGGCTCCATTCTGCGGCTGCCTAGGGGTTCCTAATTCACAGCACTAGCAGAAACTCAAGTATGATCAGAATGGGCTGCTTCCAAATAACAAAAGATGGTCCCATCACTCAGGAAATTCCAGGGGCTTTAAACAGCTCAGTGTCAGAAATGAGGGACAAGGACCCAATACAGTTCTAGTTACATGTCCTCCAACTCTGCTACTAGCTGTCCACACCCTGCTTCTGTCCTGGGCATATTCCTGTCTAGTCCCTAGCTGACTGGCTTTGCCATTGGTTCTGGGCAAAGGTGAACACAACAAAGTTCCTCTCGTGGAATCTTTGTCATATGGCCCGTTATACAGTGAGAAGGGGTGACAAGGCTGGTTAGTTTTCATGACTGCGTGACTGCCTCGTCTGTATTCTTTGCGCCTCCCTCAGTCCTTTGTGGATTGTCCTTTGTTGTGTCTGAAATGACTCAATGTGTCTTGTGGTTCTAGGAGGCTCTGTCTGGGCAAGCTCTTGGGAGTGGTAATCTCTTGTATTCGCAAGGCCTGAATCCATGAGTTCAATTAACTGCAGACTGGAATCCTAGAGAAAGTGATCACACCAACACGCCTGTCATTCTTTCCCATAACGACTCTTCACGCCGCACGCACATTGTCATTAGGGTGTTGGAAGTAACCTAAAGATGACTTAAGCTCTACAAGAGAATGTGTGTAGGCTCTATGCGAAAATCACAGCATTTTATAAACGACTGGAGCATGTACAGGTTTCAGGGTTCATGCTGGGTCCTGGCACCAATCTCCTGTGGCTACTTGAGGACAGCTGTATTTTATCGGACTATTGCTTTATTATTCTCTTCACTGTTCAGACTGGGAATTGGCCCCACATAGACAAAATGACTTGGCAGAACCCCAGGCACAGGCCAGGCTGCATACAGGTCGCCCAGCCTCCATAGAGTACCATACTCCCGAACTGAGGCTGCACGCTTGTGACTGGAAGCCATGTGGTTAGGAAAGACAGTGCATGCAGAAAACCTGGACACCCTTTGGTTGGAGATGAATGTTAATCTTGGGCTTCCCTGCAGGAAGTGATGGAGGGTGGTGGATTCAGGTGTGGGGCCAGTCTCTCCTGCAGCGGTCCCTACACCTGTTGCCATGGTTCCCCTTGGAGAAAGTCTTCATTAATGATGCCTTAATGGCGATCAGTCCTTTTTTTTCTTTTCTTTTAATAGAATAGTTTCTTTAATGGCATCTAAAAACTCAGGGAAAGCCTGGGCGCTCAGGAGAGTCTCAGTTTCAACAGTTGGGGATAGCTCATGAGAGGCAAGTACAGAATCGGATTGGGGCCTACCATGGAATCTCTATTCCCTCCTCAGTCTTTCGAGTCTACAGTGAAGCTGGCATGCAAATAAATGCTCGTGGAAAGAGTGGATTAAATAGAGCTTAGAATGATGGTATCCTGTGATTCTAGAACTGGGAAGACAGTGTGGTGGCAAGAGGGCACCGAGTTCAAGGGCAGTCTGGGATGCACAGCAAGGCCCCATTTTATAAGCAAGCTGGATGTGGTGGTGCACTCTTGGGGGTGAGGAGTGAGGGCATCTGGAGGATCAGGAGTTCAAGGTCTTCCCCTGCTACATACCAAGGCCAGCCTGGGATACATGAGAAACTGCCTCAGCCAGGTCTGTTGTGTTTAATAAATCGGTGACAGGCTATATAATGTTTATTATTCTTAGCCCTATAATTATTACAGCGGCATTATTTAACCCGCTATCACACTCAATAAAACACAGACACCTGTTAGTTTTATAATTGCCTAATTTACCTTGGGCGGGGCAGACATTCCACTTAACGCTGTCTCAATAATCTCACCATCCACCTTCCAGCCTCCATCCAATGCCATCTACCTTAACCATTCCTGTTTGGGCTACCTTCTGTCCATAATCTTATTAATACTTGCTTACATTTTTTATCTTGGTATTTTCTCCATCCATATCATCCTTGGAGTCCTTCCTCCTGGCCCATATGGTTCCTCCTCCATGCTAACCCATCCTAGCATCCTCCTTCCTCCTTTCTTCCTGTCTTTCTCTCTGTTTCCTGGGATTCTCCTGAACCCAAAGCTTGTAGGCCTTTTAATCAACCAATCAGGAATGATGTATTAGGCAGGTTTACAGAATAAGAACAGGCAGTAACCAGATCTTGAGGGCCAGTAATTAGCATCAAAATACAAGCATCAGACCAACCCCCAACACTAGTCATCTTGAGCCCAGGCTGTAAGGATAACTGGTCTTATCCTCTATCCTCCATCTGGTCCTTTCCATTGTGCTGATTCAACATAGCATGCGGTGGCATGGCATCAGGAGGGCAGCAATATACTGCTAAGCCCCTCCTTACATCTAACTCAATACCCAGCTACATTATTGCCACACAAAAAAGACTTACATATACTGGCAACCAGGACCTGCAGGTTAAAATCACAACAACACAGCCACGATTAAGCCCTCATCAAATGAAGTTGCATCCTGATAGTGCCGAGTGTTAGTGATATGAACTGAAGCGCCCAGAAGAACGGGGGTGGGGCACATGTGTGTTAAAGATTTTACGAGGCCAAATGACTGAACTTGGAGATTATGGAGTCAAAACCTTGCAAACCAGAGCCAAATTTTCTTTGGCTCTTTAAGTGTGTCTAAAAGGCTTCATTGTCTATCCCATGTCTGAACTAACATCTTAAAACGTATTCTTGGCAGAGCACTAGCCTTTGACAGTCCAAAACCTCAGGCTGTTGTCAGCTACTATCTGGAGCCTACAGTAGAATTTCCCCTACTATGCTCTAACGTCCGACCTGTAGCCCCCATGACAGGAAGTCCTTTGATTTATTATTTTCTTTGTTCTGTAACTAGCAAAGTCTCCTGTAACCTATGCAAGCCTGAATTTGTCTTGTGTTCCCCGACCATGCTGCTCATATTTGGCTGCAGAATAAACTCTCCCTAATTTCCTCTGAAGGTGAGAACTGTGGTTTTTATGCCAACAGTGGTGACTGGCTAAAATTGCTGCTGCTCTGCTGACCATGAAAACCTAAGTTGGTACAGCAACTCAGGAGAGAAGTCTGGGTGTTGGCAAATTCAAGTTGTAAATAGCTCTGGATCAGCAACCCTCAGCAGGTCTTTGGTCTGCTTTGGAGAAACTGTTACTTCAATGTCTGAAGGCTCTTCACACCTGAATTTGTAGCACAGAAAAACCGGAAACAACTTAGATGTCAATCATCCAGTGAACAGAGAAGAAATAAATCTTGGTATATAACAGAATAAAACTCCAACTGGATTAGAGGGAGAGTACAGGTAAAATCCTCATGCTGTCCTAAGTAGAAATAAACGTTATTTGTAGGGGCATTAAAGTTGGAAGCCAGACGTGGTGGCAGACACTTATAATCTGAGCAGTGGGGAGGGGGAAGCAACGGCTCAAGGTCAGCCTAGGCTACATGTGACCTTGGTTCACCAAAAACAGTCAGAGAAAGAAGCGAAGGAGGTTAGGGAGGAGGAGAACCACAGCTAGGAACATTCTTACATTATGGCTGTTGTAAGAAGGTCTGACTATGAAGTGGAAGGAAGCGTGGGAGGGGCAGGTATAAGCTGGTTCTCACACTCCCGTGTACCCATCACTGCTGTAGGGATAGCGGGTTTCTTTGGTTCTCCCCGAGATATTTCTTGGGCACCCAGCCCACAGTGTCAACTCGGGCTGATGGGTCTGATGTGTGCAAGCCCTCTTTTCTCAGCTTTTCACCAGGAAGTGCAAGGTTCGGTCTCAGCAAACATTAACTGACGGTTTATGGGTGGAGTCACAGCTGTCTCTCCAGCAACCCGGCAAAGCATTGAGGTCAAGAGGTCAAGCACATGACCTATACCGCCTACAACCTGCTGGAAAAATAGGAGCTGGTCTTATCCGAATGCCAAGTCCAGCCTGGAAACTCGGTAGGCTTCGCTGAAAGTTGAGGTCAAACCCACCAGCTAGGGACAGGGCTGTCCAAAGACCCCCCCCCCCCAGCCCCACTCCCAGCCCTCGGCTTCCAGGACTGAACCTTCACCCGGTATTTTTATCCAGGGAGAAGGCCCTCGAGTGTAGGTGAGATGCTCATGGACACCAACTGCTCCTGACCCCTCCTACATCCTGGGGGGGAGGAGGGAGGGGCGGGGTTTCACTTATTTTGAGGACAGGGAAAGATAGAGTGCCCCAGCCACAGAAATCCGTCTGCTGATACTATCCCTGTCAGCCACATCCGTCTGTACCCTCTATAGCTGTATCTATTTCCGCAAGCCCAGGGTCCACTCCTCTAAGAACCCTGACCAGCTCCTAAATCAAACAGAACAGTTGTGGCCCAGAGCCGACACACAGCAGGAACAGTAGAGCGGCTCCTATTAACGACAATCCGTAAGCCCAACCGGTGCCCAACCGGTACCCATCCTTGCTCTCCCCGGTCCCTCTCGCAGCCCGTCTGCTACTCAGCACCTCCGCCTGGGGACCTAGACTGGGAACGCACCCCAGCCAGGCGCAGAAGCCTTGCCAGGACTGCTCACGTCTGCCAGGAGTGGCCTCATGCTAGGTCTGACCCGCCCCGGCACCACCCGGTCCTGGCTTAATACTGAAGGTTTCCTACACTGCGCCTGGCTGTCGCCAGGTGGCGACAGACTACATGGTCTGCAGAAAACAGTCTTTGACATTTATTTACCTGTGTGTGTATACACACACACGCACACGTGTGCAAGCCTCCCCCCTTTGTTTTTGAGACAGGGTTTCTCTTTGTAGCCCTGGCTGCCCTGGACTCACTTTGTAGACCACGCTGGCCTCGAACTCACAGAGATCCGCCTGCCTGTGCCTCCCCGAGAGCTGGGATTATAGGCGTGTGCCACTATGTCCAGCTGTGCAAGCCCTTTTTAACTCAGGCGCCACAGTATGTGTGTAGAGTCATAGGACAACTTGTGGGAATCTGTTTTCCCCTCCCAGCAGGTGGGTTCTAGGGCTCAAACTCGGGTCATCAGGCTTGGAAACAAGCACCTTTAATTTCTGAACCTCCAGTGCCCACATTAATATTTTTTTAAATGGGTATGTCTGTTCGTTTTTTAGTACATTTATCTTGTCTTAAAATTCCTAGTCCAGAGCCAGGTGCGGTGGCATACGCACTCAGGAATCCCAGCACTGTAATCCCAGCACTCAGGAAGGCAGAGGCCAGTGGATCTCTGTGAGTTTGAGGCCAGCCTGGTCTACAAAGTGAGTCTAGGGCAGCCAAGGCTACATAGAGAAACCCTGTCTAAAAACAAACAAAGAAACAAACACACACACAACAACAACAAAAATAGTCCAGCACCTAAAATTCCTATGAAGCCTCTTTGGACTCTGGACTTTGGCCAATTAAAACACACACACACACACACACACACACACACACACACACACACATGTCACCATCAATGCCACAGTCATTGGAAACTGGCTGTTCTGTATAATTTGGATAGGAGGGGCCAACCCAAAGTGTTGGGTGGCCTAACAGGAATTGATGGAGAAGTTACCCCACGGCAGGCCCAAGACTCAGTTTGCCATGGGGCTTCTCAGACTCTTCCAAGCTAGCATGTACATCATCTGAAATTTGAGTTCAAGATACTCCTGCAAATTAGAATCTATATGATTGACTGGTGTGGTTAGGTCCTATACTTCGGGGCATTCAGCCACATTTATAGGCGCAGATAGCGATTAGGATAAACTATACTGTGACAGAAAATACATGGTTATAATAAATTGGCCATTATCTCTACGGATTTGCTATATCCTAACATTCCTAATATTGACAGTGATACAGTTGGTTGGGCCCAGTTAATTTTTCCCTTTTCTTAGTAGGAAGAAGTTCTGTTGCCCTTGGCTCCGGGAATTTGAATTTAAAACAGAAATACCCTAAGCTGAGCATGGTGCCACATGCCTGCAATCCCAGCGTTGGGAAAGCAGAGGTAAGACAATTGTCATGAGTTCAAGGATGGCTTGATCTACATAGTGAGCTAAGACCCACTATACTAAATCATGAGATCCTGAAGGCCGCTCAGCGGGTTGCCATGCTAACCTCATGGCCTGGGTTAGATCCCCAGAACTGCTGATAGAAGGCCAGAACTGACTGTATAAAGCTTCACATGCCCACATGTGCACCACGACACGCCGTATGCCCTGTGTGCATGTGCTAGGATTCGAGGCATGCACCGCCATGCCTGGGCTTTTAGATGCTTCTAAATTTCAAACAAAGTAGGCTGCCCACATAGTCTGATGGCCTAGAGCCTTCGGGTTAGTGTTTCTTGGTGATTACGTGCTCGTAGCATTGCTGAACTGAGAGGCAAGGTTGCAGTGAGCAGGAGAGAGGAGTTAGAGAAATCGGGTGAGCCGCGGAAGAAAAGCGCTCACAAGCAAATGCTCCGGTTCTGCTGCTCTGACAGCAATGCTCTGAAACCACTCTTCACAAGCCAGTGTTCCCCGTGAGGGAATGGCTAACCAGCTCTGGAAAGTCTGCCAACCTGAGGAAGCAAAATGGTCACTTGGGCACAAAGGCACTGATTTGGGCGACTCCTCTAGTGAAACTGGATGTTCTTAGGGCCCCACATTGGTTTTAGACGATGTCTGGTGCCAACCTTAGCGTTTGGGTTCAGGGGAAGTTAGTCTGAGAAGAGTCATTATAATGGTTATACCTGCTAAGCAAGAGCCTGTTAGGCCAGGTACAGCGATAAGCAATGAGTGACTAGCAAAGGAACTAAAGCTAGCCCAAGATAGTCTTGGTTCTAGATGTACAGCAGTCCAATTCCCCACAACCACCAGGTTCTGGCCAATCAGCCTCGCAGAACTGCAGGCATAGGTGAGTTCACAGGCTCAGCACAGCATCCCCCAGTGAGCAGAGCAGCTGCAGCCTCACCTCCCAGCCCCTCCTCTGACTTTGTATTCTGCTCTGGCATAGGAGGAAGTACAGAACAGCACGAGCTGTCCGTTGCAAGAAGACAGGATGCTGGGACCCTCCCCACTGCAGCCTTCTGTCCCCCGCCCCCCCAAGGTGAAGATCAGGAGTCCCCATTAGGCAGGCACGCAGGGAGCAGCTACCTTTAAGCACAGTAGGTCAGCCACAGGGCTGGCTGTGGCGATGCTAATGGGGGGCTCCCAGAGCTCTCATAGATGTAAACGTTCTTTCTGTCCTGACCTCTGTTTGCCTGTCTGGAAAACAGGGACACTGTAAAAGTTGACAGGCCCAGGGCACAGGTTATTATGCCCTCAGGTCTCTGTGTGTACTGGTAACAAACCTCCTGTGAACATCAAACCCCGCTGATGCTCCGCTCAGACAGACTCAAGTTGTGGGCGTTAGGCAGCCACTGGACAGCTCAGTCCGGGTTGGCGATGGGGGTGGCCTGGGGGCAGCTCCTAACCCAACATAACCTTCCCCTCCTCCCTGGAGCTGGCATGGGTTCACTCAAGTTCTGGATCTTATTTTCAACTTAATGGCTTAAGAAAAAAAAGAGAGAGAGAGAGAGAGAGAGAGAGAAGGATGAAAATAAACTCAACCCTATGACTGTGGGTCACCCTACTGGCTGTTCTTTGATATTTGAGGACTAAGCAACGGGGCTGATTGCAGAGGGGAGATTTGAAACCAGCATAATTAAGAGGAGAAAATGTGTCTGGGCTGCAATGGCACACACCTTTAACCCCAGCATTTGGGAGGTAGAGGGATGTGGCTGCCTCTCTGTGAGTTTGTGGCTAGCCCAACCTCCAGAGTTTCAGGATAGCCAGGACTACATAGAGAGAGAGCCTGTTTCAAACAAAACAAAACATGAAGGGGAAAATGTCCATTGTGGGCTGTTCTAAAAGCACAGCGGAGTTTACATTTGGAGGGGAAGGGCAGGGGGACACAGGGACTTGGGACAGCAGTTATGCGAAGCGAAGCTTCTGTTGGAAGCCCTGAAGCCTGCATTCTTTTACGTGAGTACCTTCTCTCAGCAGACCACCCCAAGAAGAAGACAGCAGGGAAATGGCCAGCCACCTGTGGCCTGGCACGTTAAAACAAAGGCTTCTGTCTCCCACCAGCAGGCGCACTACTGATGGACTGGCTACCTGGGAGGCAGGTAAGGCAGGGGCTAGTTTGAATCCAGGAGTTTGAGGTAGCCCAGGCAAACATTGCCCAGCACTACTTGTGTCTCTAAGGCCCCTAAAACTTGGAGTCTCCAGAGCCTCTCCCCACCAATACCTCTCCAGGTAGAGTTACTGAATGGCCCAGAAGTGTCTGCGTTCATCAGTCCAGAGGAACAGAACAGGGCCTGGATTTCTGTCCCAAGCCCGGCTATGATTCCCACCCAACTTCAGTTTCCCTCTCTGCAGAATCCTGAGACTCTAAGCAGGAAGCACTTGCTGTGGCATTTCTGTTTCTGCTCCCTCGGAAGGCCCGTCCTTCCCTCCAGACGGACTACTTGTGGCATCCCCGGACTCCAGGCTCCCAGGAGCATGCTTCTCGGATCCTCAATGCAGGCGTCTGCCTTATCAGGCTCAAATCTCAGGGGAGACAGACATTCTGGCCTCCTCCATGACAACAATGGTCCCTTCCCACTGGCCCCAGCTTGACCCTGAGCATGGGTGGGTGGCCAGTGCCTGCAGAGGGAGTTCCCCACCTTTCTAGCATGAATCTTCCTTTCAGACCTCCCTCCACAGGCTCTTACCAAATGGAGCTGACCCTGGCGTGGGAGGCGGGGGAGGGGTGCTGGATACCCCACAGCTGCATATCACTGCCACCTCCTGAGTGGGCTCCGCTCTGCCTGGCCTTCATAACATAAGTAGATGCTGTGGAATGGGGTTCTGCAGCCTGCACCACCCACCCCTCAGTGCTTAGGTCCAAGCTCTGCTGTTTAGGGAACACTTACGGGTCACCTTACATGCCACAACCCACGGGAAGTCATGTCCACTTTAGGGCTTTCTGTTTTCCATAATCAGGCACTGGTTCCCTCTTGCTCTTGGCATCCACCTGAGACAACCTGAACCAGTTTCTCTCTCGGCCAGACTATACCCTCAGGGCTCTGTTCAGAAGATACTTCATCTTCCACACTGGTGTCCAAAGCTGGGCTCCTCGGGCTGACAAAGCCATATCTGTTTGAGCATCTTCCTTTCCCTCCTGCCCCGTCACTGGGGGCTTTGCCTAGCTGCATCCCACAGTCCCTTCCCAGACCACCTGTCCCTGAGCTGCTCACTGCCTCTCTTAGTGTTGAAATCCTTTCCTGGCTTAGATCCTCTTGGCCTCCTGTCTTTGACTGCCTCGCAGGCCTGGCTTCCTCTCCATGTTAGGCTGGACACCCTGGGAGGAGGAGACTGCAGTTGCTAGTCTTTACACCCATTGATCAAGTGCAGTTTCCTAGTCCCAGATAAACACCTACACTTTTGGTCTCCTGGGAAAAGCTTTGCCTCAATATGGCTGTGCCCATGTCATTGACACACATTAACTCAGGACTTCACTCACTCAGGGCTTCCTCCATTCCCTGTGACCTCTCATAGGCCTAGGCTACAAATGTCATTGACCTACTGAAGACTGACATTCACAGGTGGACTATTGGTCCATTCCCCTCTCCCAATACCACACTTGAGATCTGTCCAAGCAGATGTCATATAGATGCCGCAGAATCAACTCAGGCCAGACGAGACTCTGCCTTCTGCCTTCTCTCCAGCGTTCCGCATCTCTGCGACAGGTAACACTGTATGGCACAGGCTCCCCACGCTCAGACCTCTCAATCACCGTGGAGCCCTCTCTCACAGCTTACGGCTAAAAACTGTTCCACTTCCTAGACCGCCAGGCTCCACCTGCTCAAGCCACCACTGTCCCCTGACATTCCCTTTGCTCACTGAGTACTCTGCTAATCTTTTGCCCTTCAAGATGTTTAAAAAAAATTTTTTTTTAGAATTTCATACTCACATGTGTTTTTATCAAGTCTACCCATTTTCCTCCCCTCCCCTCAATTCCCTTTACCTTTTCCTCCCTGATTACCTCTTTTTCCTCTCTCCCTCCCTGCCTCTTGAAACCCATGGAGTCCACTTAGTGTTGCCAGAATGTGCATGGGTGTAGGCCCATCTGCTGAAGTGGGAGTAAGTTTTCAGGAGCTGCATCACTGAAGGAAACAACCCCTCTCCCCAGAAGTCACCAATTGTTAATACCTTCTCAGATTCAGGTGGGACTTCAAGAGCCCTTCCCCTACCTTATTTCTGTGAGTTCATGCGAACAACAGTCTAGTCACATCCAGCAAACGATGCTTGACCATAATAGACAGCTGTTACACTCAGAAATTTCTTTTTAAGAAACAATATGGCTGAGGTGCAGCTCAGTGCTAGGTGTTCTGCCTAGCACATGCAAGGATCTGGATTTCAAAGCCAAGAGCATTAAAATAAGAAATGTATAAAAGCCGGGAGCAGTGGCACACGCCTGTAATCCCAGCACTTGAGGAGGCAAAGGCAGGCGGATCTCTCTGAGTTGGAGGCCAGCCTCGTCTACAAAGTGGCTCCAGGACAGCCACGGGCCACACCACACAGAGAAACCCAGTCTTGAAAATAAAAAAAAGAAAGAAAAAGAAAGAAAGAAAAGAAATAAGAAAAGAAATGAGTGCATAAATGAGAAAAAAATGTGTAATGACATATATACATAAAATTTCACAATGAAATTCATTACTTTGTATGGTAGCTTCATACAAAAACTTTTTTTTCCAAGACAGGGTTTCTCCCAGTTGACCAGGCTGGCCTTGGACGCAGAGATCACCTGCCTCTGCCTGCTGGGATTAAAGCTCTGTAACACCAGCGCAGCACCTCCGCCTGCCCCTGGCCCGTCACTTTGCGCCTCTTTTCATAGACCCGCCCCCGTGGCGACCCCGTGGGGTTTTGTCATTGGTCCTTCTCGAGATGCTGTCAAACGATCAGTTCTGATTGGCCACGAAGCCTCCCACGCCTCCACAGCAGCCACAACAACCGCCATGTGCTCTGCCGTGGGACTGCCTCATTGGCTAGCCGCCCATTGGCTTTCCAGGCCCGGGCCCGGCTGTCCCGACGCTGATTGGCCGCTGGCGTGGGGCGGGGCTTGGGGCGGGTTAAGAGCGCCGCGGAACAGGCGCGCGCGGAGGACTTCCGATGGCTGGACAGGGGCTGGCGGCGGGCTTCTTGCAGGTGCCCGCGGTGACGCGAGCCTATACGACGGCCTGCGTCCTCACCACCGCCGCAGTGGTGAGCGGGCCGGGCGGGCGTGGCGGCGCCAGGACTCCAGGCCCTGGCCGGCAGGAGGGGGTTAGGGCGGTCGCCGGAAACCGGCGTCTAACACGCTCCCCGTCCCACAGCAGCTGGAGCTCCTCAGCCCCTTCCAGCTCTACTTCAACCCGCACCTGGTGTTCCGGAAGTTCCAGGTGAGGCAGCCCGGACTCGGCACATGTCCGCCTGGCCCTTGCCCTTGCCCCACGCCTCACCGCTACCCCTACCTCTTCGCAGGTCTGGAGGCTCATCACTACCTTCCTCTTCTTCGGGCCCCTGGGATTCGGCTTCTTTTTCAACATGCTCTTCGTGTATCCTGAGCCACCTAGGGGGTTGGGCTGAGTCCAGGTTGGGGTTGTGCAGGGCTAGTAACGGGGAAACTGAGGCCCAGTCGACGTGGCACTTCCTATACCAGTGTTGCAGCTTCCGCTACTGCCGTATGCTGGAGGAAGGTTCCTTCCGCGGTCGCAAGGCCGACTTCGTTTTCATGTTTCTCTTCGGTGGTGTTTTCATGACTGTATCCTTCCTTAGGCTCAGTTTTATTAGGTCAGGAAACACCTCCTTCTAGCCTGTCGCAGCCCCGGGGTCTAACATGGAGCGCGCAGACCGGGAGGGACAGGCATTCAGAGCTTAGCAGCGATATAGCCTACCTAGGTGCCCCAGCTGGATCTGAAACATGAACCCAAGTGCCAGAAGAAATGAGTGGGCATGGGAACCGATGGAGCCTGGGTACCAGGAAGCCACAGAGAGGGATTCTTCTTGATCTGGAATAGACCAGGGATATGAGGGAACCCGTGGAAAAAGTCAGAGAGGTACTGTAGGCAGCAGACTGCTCTGGGGAGCCTTGACTCTGGCCCAGCTGCTGGGAATCCTGGGCAGCCTCTTCTTCCTGGGACAGGCCCTCATGGCCATGCTGGTCTATATATGGAGCCGGCGCAGCCCTCAGGTGAGGGTCAACTTCTTCGGCTTACTCAACTTCCAGGCACCATTCCTGCCTTGGGCTCTCATGGGCTTCTCGCTGCTGCTGGGCAACTCGGTCCTCACAGACCTGCTAGGTGAGCCTGCCCGCCCTTTCCACTCACCCAGGCCAGCTGCTCCCGTGGGCATGCAGCTCACATCCCTTCCCCGTGCACTGGACCTCTTACACACCTCCCCAAAACCTCTTTCGGTCCCAACTCCTGTTCTGTTCTCAATGTCCCCTCAAGCAAACCAGCTTGCCCACAGGATTTGCATCTGCAGTTGACACTAAACCTGGTCCTAGGGGTGGTTAGTTTCTGCTTCCTGGCTCCTACTCCCCCAGAGTTCTCAGGCACCTAGTCCCAACCCCTCCCCAGGTACTTTCCACTTTTGAACCCCTTTAAGCCTGTCTTTCAAGGCCAGTTCTGGCCTGAACCGGTAGATGGCAGGGTACTTGTGCTTTGGAACCAGGGTTATACTGGGCTGTGGAAGATGACCTCTGCCAGCCTTTGGCTCTCTCACAGGGATTGTTGTGGGCCATGTCTACTACTTCCTAGAAGATGTCTTTCCCAACCAGCCTGGAGGCAAGAGACTGCTGCTGACCCCCAACTTTCTGTGAGTGTTGGACAACTATTTTCCATCCCTCAGGTGGCAATCTACCTACTCCATGGGGGAACTTTTATTTACCACAGCTACTGAGCTGTTGTCCTGTCTCCACAGGAAGCTACTACTAGATGACCCCCAAGAGGACCCCAATTACCTGCCCCTTCCGGAAGAGCAACCAGAGCCTTAGCTGCAGCTCCTGTAAGTCCACTTTGGTCAGTTTGCAGCTTCTGGCAGAGCACTATCTTTCCCCTTCACCTTAGCTCCAGCCAAGCACCCCATCCAAAAGCCTGGATCACCAGCAGCCTTGGTGCCTCAGCCAGCAACACCCCACGTCTCTGTGCCATCTCTCTTCTCAACTGTAGGTGCTAGGACATGGGGCCCAGAGACGGCAGAGACTGCCTATGGATGCCTAAGAGTTCTGAACTCACTAATTACAGACTCACAGTTCTCATCGTCACGTGCCAGTGCCTTGATGGAGCACCAGGAACAAGTCCTACACACCCAGACTTCAGTGGCTGGGTCCAGAATTCCTGCCTGTGGGCTGATGCCCACCTACCTGGCTTCTCTGTCTTCATTTAAAGCAAGCGAATCTTCGCCTTCCTCTCCAGCTGATGACCCAAAGGTCCCGTGGGCTCAGGTACAAAGGACAAGTTTGGTCCTTAGCCATCTTAGTGAGCCTACAACCTCAAGGTCTGTTTTAGCAGCATCCTGTATACAGCAGTGGTAGCTCTGGGACGGTCCCTTCTGCCTTCCAGATGAGGCCTGTGTGGGTCTTTCCTACCTGTATCTCCTCTGAACCAAGGATGTCCAGTGTGGCCAGTTTTCTTTATTGCTCTACATCTGTTCCATTGGGGCTTATTCCAGGATGCCCAACAGCATGGAAATTCCCCAAACCACTGCCTGTTGTTTCTATGGTAACAAAGATGTTTTCTACTGAGTCTGATTTGATTTCGTAGTGAAACCTAGTGAGGCCGCGGCTGTGCTGCTGTGTGGAATGAGGATGATTAAAACCGGCAGGAACTGAGGGGGTGGATGGTGGCAGCAGAGAGCACTCCCTAGGAGGACCCACTAAGAGTGAGAGTGGCAGCAGTCTGGAGCTGGGTGCCAGCATCAGTGTCTTCAGTCACAACCTTTATGCCCAATATGCCAAGCAGAGCTTGCCTCATTAAGAGCCATGTTACCTTAATGGATTTACCTTAATGGATCCTATGTCCATTCTACACCACAAATCAGGACAAAAGGAAAAGAAGCTTACCCCAAGCACTGCTTGGAGGATGGAGTTAGAGGGCTGTACCTCCTCTCCACACACAGCCAACTCAAAAGGATGGCACATGGCTGTGTGCTAGTTCCCTATTACTCATAACAGGTGGGGGAAGGAGAAGCTGGCCCAGACCACACGGAGATAGACTTAGTTAACGTTAACCTTTTTGGGGGGTTGCTAGAACTTAACATGGAAGACTTTGTTTGCACACTAGCGACGTCATGGACAGCTGCTGCCTACACACGACCAAGTCCTCTAGGAGGGACTCCAGAGCAAGGTCCTCCAGCTGGCAGCAGCCTGTCTGGATGTGACCACAGCCAGCAAAGGAGCCTCTGACACACTCCTGTCAACCTCTTGGACCTGAGGAGCACAGAGAGCCCCTGGGCAGCTGGAAGGCTCACGAGAGAATAATGATGGGGCTCTGCTCTGGGGGCCTGTGGCTGGCTGTGCAGGCCCAATCCTCTCCACTACCCACCTGAAAATTAGCGGGTGGGAAGGGCAATGGACTGGCACATCCACCTTGGCCACAGACCCCTCCCAGGCACAAAGGTTCCATCAGGCTCCACTCCTGGCTCTCTCACTTTTATGGTATCACACCAAAGAGATTGAACATGTTACTTTTTATTTAAAAAGTGTTCCTAGCCCTGCCTGGGGCTCCTATACAAAAACAGAACACAACCTAAATGAGGCTGCTTTCCGACTCTACACTCTGGGGCACAGAGCTAGGAGTTAGCAAATGGAATGTGTGCTGAAGGAAGGCACCCAGGAGGCTCCTACCCCATTCCTCAGGATGGCACCAGCTGTCCCGTTGCCTTTCTCTTCACCACAGAGGAAGAAAAGGCAGTCTTTTGAGACGCTCCGTGAAGTTGAGCATGGATGGCTTCATCACCATGCTGGGGCAGTGTTGGCGAGACGCCTCATTCGCCTGAAGTAGGGAACAGGTGGTTAGCTGAGGCTAGTCACAGCCCTGGGTGGCCACCCTCCTGGGTATGTTATTTTGCTAGAGTAGCTAGGTGTGGGGGCCATGTAGCAAGAAGAGTCTCCAGCCTTTTCTTGACCTTGCCAGTTGGCTGCACAGGCCTTACTTATCTCTATAGAAACCTGTGAGGGGATATTGTTCTCTCCAAGGAAATGTACCCTGGGGCCTGATCCCCACAGAAACTGCCTCTTGAAACTAGGTTTCTAGGGAGAAGATAGCCCTGCCTCTGCCAGGGATGATGTGTGCCTGTGGGTATACCTTGTGTTCCTGTCTTGATCCCGGATCTTCTTCTCCATCTCAGCATCGGTCAGCGTCTCCAGCAGGGGGCACCACTGGTCAGCATCTCCTGTATTTCGGATGGCGATCTCCACCGTGGGAAGTGGGTTCTCACTGAGGGAAGGGAGACAGGGAAGAACAGGGCTAGTTAACAGAACAGCAGCTAGGAAGTACCCCAGAAACCACTGCTTTCCACACTGCTGTCCCTTAGCAGAGGGCCAGGGCACGGCAGGGAGACCCACTTTCTTGTTGGTTCCTCCAGCAGCAATGCTGATGGGCAGCTGGGGGATGGCTCTTGTCACTGTCTCAAGCATGATGCCAGGACCTGCCCCAGCAAGAAACACATTTGATAGCCTCCCTTCAGAGCCAATTCTTGATAAGAATTGAGAGCGCTTCTGGCGGGTACAGCTGTGCTGTCTACCCAACTGTTCAGGGCCGGTACCCACCAAGATAAGAGGTGGCGGTGTATAAAGACTTCCTCAAGAAGCTCAGCCTCCTCACAGAGGCCCACTGGGTTGCCCTGACCCCAGGTGTTGTATACATTTACTCCTTGGCTCACACTTCATGGGGTCCACACTAAGCCCTGGAGAAGCCAGCATATTTGTTTTGAGACAGACAGCTGGTTGGCAGAGACCTGAGCCTTTCAGACACCACCTGACTCTGCCTTAAAGTAGAGGGTGGCCACCTGTTCAAACCTCTTGCCAAATGTACGCAATGGTGTGAACAAAGTGGGACAAAGATGGATGTCTGTGGCTGTGCACCTCTGGACCTTGGTTTCCAAGTTGGTAAGAGGAAGCTAAGGAGGTACCCAATGTGTTAGAGTAAACCCTATCCTGGCAGGAAGCCTCACAGCATGGCTCTAACCAGGTACTCTCCTCCTCTCCACTGTCACACTGGCCTTCCCTAACTTTTAGCCCTCTCCTCCCAGCTAGATGGCCTCCCTGTCTCCTGAGGCACAGTCCCTCAGGAGATGGTCACCTTACTCTACCTATACAATCCTAATCAGGTGTGTGCCCACCCTGTTGTCCTGCAGTACCTTGTCAACTCTGGGAAAGGAGGAACCTGAGGGTTACTTGACAGAGGAAAGTGGGATAAACACAGCTGAGCTGGCTGTTTGGTTTTGTCTAAAATATGGGAGCAGAGTTTACCGTCGGGAGGGTTAACCTTAAAGCAGCTAATATTTACTGTCAAAGTCTCTTCAGAATCAGGTCTTTACACAGCCTTCTTTAGGCTTCAGGAATAGTGGACTTCACAGAAGCAAACTCCTACACTTGGCTTGACGGCAGAGTCATGACTCCTCACCACTGTACTATGCCAGTACAGGCCAAACCCAGCAGCTAAGAGTGAACCCAGCCCAACTCAGAAAGGCTGGGCTGGGACCAATTCTTGGCATAAGGATTTCAGGGACCTCTAGCCTGATCAAGGCCAGAGTCTGACTGAAGTTGGTTCCACAGACCAGGAGGGCCCAGGCTCCTTGACAGATATAGGTCTGACTTGCTACTGAAGTTCAGCTTACAACACCCACACCCACAGGCCCCACAAAACCTGGAAGTCCAAACTCCTGATAGTGACTCAAAGGCCCGAGACTGTCAGCCCCGGCCCTTGTGGTCTGTTCCTGGAGCCAGCATCTTTTCTTGGCAGCTTGATTTAGAAATCCAGGAACAGCCCAGCCAGACTCATCCCTCATCTTCAGGTCATCTCCCTCAGGAGGGCAGCCTTGAAAGGCGCCAAGCCCAGGCTGAAAGAGTCAAAACATGTTTTCCTCTGAACTTAAATAAGAGCTGGCAAACAGCCCCAGGGGCCCCTTTGTTTACCTCCCCTTGACTCTGGGAAGATTTCACACCAATGGTTTTGTTCAAAAATAGAACTGCTAGAGCTGACCATGGAAAGGATGGGCTTAGAGCCAACACTAGCTGTGTCAGGTTTGTGGGGACATGCAAGTAGAGACACTGCCCTAAGTCCCAAAGTCTGTGGGCCACTGGAGTCAGCCAGCTTCCATTATACCAAGGGAGTTCCTACTCATGAACTTTGAGGCCAGGGGGTGCCCTGGACATTCTCCTGCCACATAAGGGCTGCTGGAAGACGACAGTGAGAGAGGAAGGACTGATTCTACTAGAGTGGACTTGAGTTTGTTTTTGATGTAGGTTTTTTTTTTTTTTTTTTTGTCTTTTAAGACAGGGTCTTCTGTAGTCCTGGCACGCAGTATGTACATCAGACAGACCTCGACCTCGACCTCAGAGATCTATCTACCCTGTCTCCCAAACGCTGGGACTAAAGGCATATGCCACCATACCAAACCTCAATGTTAGATTTTGTTTTCATGACCTGTGACAGGCAAGCTGAGAAGCAGTATCATTTTCATTATAAAAAGAGAACAGAGACTGCTCAAGGCCACTCAACTGGGGGTAAAGAGACGAAATTCTATAGTCAGCCATGTTTGCAAGTCTTGGCTGCCATGCCCCTTCAGCGCTCTCTGGAAAAAGGCAATCTTGTGGGCAAGCTGCTAATACAATATGCCTCTGCATTTTAGATATGACATGTACACAATATATACTTGCATATATATGTATTGTACGCATACATGTGTGTATAAGACAGATGACACTAACATCTGGACTTAGAGCCTTCATCAAACTATCAACGTTTGTGCTACAAAGGACGCTATCAAAAAGTGAAAAGGCAGCCCAGAAGATAGAAAAAGATATATATAAATCCTACCTACTGAGGAATGTATATTCAGACTAAATGAAGAACTCTTAGAAACCAACAATAAAACCTGTTAAAAATATAGGCTAGTAAAAAAGCTTGGTATGGTCCCAAGTTCAATTCAAGTACCTACAAGGGGGAAGGAAAGAGCTGACTTCTACAATTTGCTCTCTGTGCACATGTGCACGTGCACCCCTCCCCCCCAGTAAACTGGGGTGGGCCAAATTACCTCAACAAGCCATTTCCAAAGATGCTCGAGTGCGCGCACACACGCACGCACACGCACACACACACACACACACACACACACGGCCAATAATCAATGAAAAGATGCTCATTAAGAAATGCAACTCCAGCCTATATTACTTTACATTCACCAGGATAGCTACAGTCAGAAAGTAAGAGCAAAAGAGCAAGCACTGGCCAGGATGTAGACTCCGAACCCCACAGCACAGGTGGGATCTGTAGGATGATGCAATCACTGTAAATAAAACAAACAACAACAACAACAAAAAACCCAGTTCAGCAGTTCCTCAAATACCAAGTGTGATAGCTCATGTAATCCAGGCTCTTAGGAGTCTGAGCTAAGAGGACTTCCATTACTTAAGGGCTAGGCTGGGCTACAAAGTGAGATCCTATCTCAGTAAAACAAAACAAAATAGAAGTTAACAGAGTTACCATATAATCCAGAAATACTACTACTGTGTAGATAGCCAAGATACTGACAAGAGTATTTAAACAGCAAATGTCCTTAGCATAATTTACAATAGACAAAAAGTAGAAACAACCCACAATTGAATGGATAAGTCAAATGTATTTATTTAAGCAGCAGAATATTATTCAGCTGCAAGAATGGAGTTCTGATGTTACAACACAGATGACCTGAAAACATTATAGTAGGAAGCTAGTCATAAGGCCATATACTGCCATCCCAGGCTATGTGGCAGGACCCTTACTCAACAGAATGAAAACCAATCAGACCAAACCAAACATGCAAATAAAGGGTCAGACATGGCAACTCATACCTATAATTCCATTTGGAAGGTAAAGCATGAAGATCAAAAGTTCAAGACCTGCCTGGACTACAGAATGAATTCAAGGCCAGCAACTTAGTATGACCCTACCTTGAAACCAAAAAGTAAAAGGAGGCCAGACCTTTAACTCAGGAGTTGGGAGGCAGAAGCAGCAGATCTCTGTGAGTTTAAGACCAGCCTAGTCTACAAGTGAGTTCCAGGACAGCCTTACGTTCAATCTCTAGTAATAACAAAAATTAAATACATTTTAAGCTAAATCAAATGTCTAGTGTGGTATGTGAATTGTCTCTCAATGGGTTGGTTGTTATAAAAATAAAACCCTTACCAGGCGGTGGTCATATACACCTTTAATCCCAGCACTCAGGAGGCAGGGGCAGGTGAATCTCTGTGAGTTTGAGGCCAGCCTGGTCTACAGAGTGAGTTCCAGGACAGCAAGGGCTACACAGAGAAACCCTGTCTTGAAAAACCAAACCAAACCAAAACCCTCTACCAGTATGCACTGGCTAGTGGAGTTCTAGGTCACCTGTCCTCTGTGGTGCATGCCCAACCAGCCCAA